GGGGGGGGCAGCGAGGAGAGCCGGTAGAGAAGAAGAGGCTGAGTTCGATTGTGCAGGCCAGTTCGCGCGTCCCTGTGGCCGGACGAGGACCTCGTGTCGTCGTGCGGGAGGAACCACGGGCGGACCCGCTTCGCGATGAGGTCGGCGTAGCTGGGTAAACGGAAGAGGGAGGATTAGCATTGAAGCAGGAGGATGGCGGAGGGACTAGACGCACTAGACGGGCGCGGGCAAGGAGACGGCCTTGTTCGTACGCTGGTATGAGTGGCAGAGCGAGTTGGCGATCTGCTGGACGTCGTCGGTGCTGCAGGTGGAACTCGTCAGCGCGAGCTGTCGGAGGTGGAGAAAAGCCAGACGCACGACAGGCCGTGCTCGTCGTGGAGCACGATGTAGCGAGTAGCGCGTGTAGTCCCAATCAAGGCACGGTGCGCCGCGCCGTACACGTCGAAGCCTGCGCGCCCAGCCGTCAGCATGAGCACAAGGATCGACGAGGAGCTCACGCACTACGCGCGTCGGTGACGCCGCTGTCGAAGAACGTGCCGGGCGGGATGTTCGACACCTGCCTGCCGTCGACGAAGGCCCTGATGTGGTGACGCTTGACCGTCGCGATGACCGTGAGCTGTCGAACGCATACAATCGTCAGCGTGAGCGATGAGCCCCGAACAACCTCGCGATCTCACCTTCGGGTTCCATGCATCGAGCGCCGGGCCAAAGAGCTTGCGCATCTCGTCGTCGGTCTTGAAGCGGCGCAAGGCCTTGTGGAAGGCGTCGACTTCGACGGCGATGACCGTCGCGAACTCGCCTTCGGAGACGCCGTCGCGGAACATCAACATCGAGACGGGAGGGAGAGCGCGGAGGGAGAGGGCGCGGCGGCGGAGAAGGAACTGTTCGACCAGAGTCTGAGTTCGAGGAGAGCGTCGCGAGAGCGGGTCAACGCACCAAGACCATCTCCTCGAGGTTCGTGATCATCTCCTGCTTCTTGGGTCGGGCACCCGCGGCTGTCAATGAGGGTCTTTAGCGCGAGGTCTGCGACTTGGAAGCTCGAGGGACGTACAGGCGGCGGCAGGCGTCGGCTCGAGAAGTCCTTGGACCGCGATGGCCTCTTCGTAGAGAACGTTCGCGCTGTGCATCGAAGCAACAACGACGGCGACGGAGGGCTGATCCGGCTCGTGCGTGAGGTCAGCGCCGAAGATCATCGGCGTCTTCTCGCGGAGGAAGCCGCCGACGGTGTCGCGGTCGAGACGGTGGTTGTGGCCGCCGAGCTTGCCGTTGATTTTCAAGGCGCAGTTGATCATCATTTGCACGCCCGTCGTGCGCAGCTTCGACTGCTGGATGGCTTGACTGGCGATTCCCTGGCAGGTCGCGGAGCGCTTAAACTCGCTGTAGTCGGGCGAGTTGGCTTCGGTGAAAAGCCTGCGAACGTGGAATACAGGCGTCAATGCGGTCGCAGGGAAAGCCACCGGTTCTGAGAACGACGCACCAGAAGATGATGTCGGGCGTCCTCCCGAAGAGACTCCTCGCCTGCTCGACCGCAGAGTTGACGGTCCGCGCGGGGTCGGTGCCGGGGCGACGGACGAAGAAGACGTCACGCGGGAACGGAAGCGAGGGGCAGCCCTTAAGGTTCATGCCTGCGGTCCGAGCAAGGAGGAGGGTGAGCATACGAACAGCTGCAAGGAGTTCTCCGCACGGACCGAAGCTGTGGGCACCGCGGAAGAGAGCGTCGAGCCAGGTCTCAACAGCTTGGACGTCGCGCTCGGAGGGGACGACAACGACGAACGAGCCGAGGCTTGCGCCGGCAATGAAGTTCTCGGCGGCCAAGCTGCCCCTCACGTTCATTCTCCATTCGCCGTTCGCCGGGTCGACGTGCGTCCACTGCTTCTCGCGATTGTCGCCCGGGCGGAAGGTCGAGTCCTTGTACTCGATTGCGGGCGGCGGAAGGACGCGAGCCTGGATGGCCTTCGGCACCGGGGCGATCTGGACGCCGAAGCTCGCGAGGCTGCAGAGCGGCAAGTCAGCGCCAAAGTCAACGAGAGCGAGGCGAGGGAGACGCACTGAGGCTCGACGACCGTGCGGTAGACGTCCCTGCGGACGCTGAGGATGGCGGCGAGCTTCTGCGGAGGGCTGAGAGAGCGCATCTGAACGTCAATCGCGATACTATGACGATGAAAGAATGGGGTGACGCACAGGAGAGTGGCGAAGTCCGAAGCCTTGCCCTGCTCAAGCGGCGAGAGACGCTTGAGGTACTTGTTCCCCTCGTCGATCCAGAGCATTTCAAGGGGATAAACAGTGGTGGGGCGGACCTCGACGAGGGGCAAGTCGGGGTACTGCAGGCGGACGCCGAAGTGCTTCTCCATGTACTCTTCGACGTTGGTCTCGCCCACGTCCGTCATGAAGAGGTGGTCGCGGGGGCGCTTGTCGAGGATACCGCGGCCACGGATCTTCATTTTGAGCGGAGGCGCGCCTTGTCCGCGACGGACCGTCACCTCGATCTTCTTGCAGACGAGTCGGTTGATGCTCGTCATGAGTTGGCCGTCCAAGCGACCGACGATGAGGGCGTTGAGGCCGTTCCGCACGTTCCTCCCATTCGTCTCGCAGTAGGCCGCCGCGAAGTCGACCATGGTACCGGGCTGGAAGAAGGCGGTCGACGTCGTGTTGATGTTCAGCTGCAGGCCGCGCTCGCAAGTGCGGACACTCTGGAACCAGCCGCGCAGAAGCTCGATGTAGCCATTGAGGCGAACGCTCTCCTTCCTGATGCCGCCTCCGAGGCGTCGCGCAGCCGAATCGGTCGGGAAGAAGGAGGTGCGAGTGCCGAAGAACTCGGCGGACGGGCCTTGCGAAATGATGGTGTTGAGGGCTTGGAGGGCCTCGGCGACCTCGCCAAAGTAGAAGCTGCCGGTGCCGAGGTAGTAGGAGCGGAGCGAGGCGAGCGGGAGATCGATGGCGTTGGAGATCGTGACCGTGAAGGTCATGCGAGGGCGGTCGGGGGCGGGAATGCCGGAGATCTGCGCGAGGTGAAAGCGTCAGTGAGGATAGAAGCGTCAGCGTCAAGAAGGCCGATCACTCACGCGGATGACGCCGTTGCCAGGGTCGGGCAAAGGCCTGTTGGTGTAGGCCGCCGCCCTCCCGTCGAAAGCGGGACGGATTCCGCCGAAGTGCGTCGGGTTCGCCGCTTCGCGACGCTCAAGCTCCTGCCAAACGAGTCGGAGGACGCTTTTGGGGGGCGCGCCGCGAGGAGGGCGGACATTTCCCTGGGCGTCGATGCGGTCGTCGGCGATGATGTCGATCTGCAGGCGCCGAGTGCTCGATCGTCAGCATAAGGGGGCGGTAAGCATGCGAGAAAGCGGACGCGCCTGGTACTTGTACCAATTGCTGACATTGTTCGAGACGGTCAAGTCGAAGCAGTTGGTGCTGAGCTGGAGGGAGTTCGCCGGTCTGCGCGCAAATTTGCCTGGTCAGCTCGGCCCGACGCGTTCCAGTGAGACCGTTCGACGCACTCGGGCACAACGTAGTGCGGGCGAGTGAGGGGCTCAGGCATAGCTGCCTGTCCGAGAGTGACCTGTTGAGCGGCGACAGTGACGGGCCTCGTCGTGGGTGGCTGGACAGGGCGCGGCGGAGACTGTTGACGAGGTGCTCCACCCTGCTGCTGCCCTCCAAAGTCGCCGCGTCCACCACCACCGCGTCCTCGTCCTCCTCCCCCTCCTCCCCGCCCGCCGCCGCCGTTCCACCCTGCGCCGCCGCCCCTGGACTGGTAGGGAGGTCCACCACGGCCGTGCATGCTGTCTGAACTGTCGACCGAGCGCGCGTGAGCTTGTTGAGGAGCGAAGTGAAGGGAGAGAAGGAGAGCTGCCCCACTTCATCACAATGTCAAGTCGCGTCCACTTTTGACATCTCGACGAGGGCTCGCAAAGGCTTCAGAATGGTCTACCGCGTTTCCTATAGCCTTACTAAGTCATATGCGGGCTCAACATACAGGCCACCGAGGCAAAGACGGCGCAGGGACGTCAAACGAGCGTGAGGAGGCAGTGTCGCTCGCTTACTGAGCTGCAAAGGACTCGGTCGGCGCACATCCGGGCTTCGAGTACTTCGTAGAATGTCCGCAATCACAAAAGGAGCGTTGCGAGCGGAGCAAGGCTAGGAGACGGCGACGAGCTGGATGTCAAAGCGCCTTTTTCAGCGAGAAGACGGCACAGCGATCTGAGGCAGCTCCAAGCCGATGCCGGCAGCTATAATGGGCTGAACAGAGCTTGGGGAGAGCAGGAAGCGGCGACCCAGCGTCTCGAAGCGACTCGAGCGAGAGTCCCGTCGAGGATCACTTGGGCCCAACGTTACGTTCGTCAGCCAAGCTTCAATGTCGGATTCCACAGGCACTTAGACGTGGTCGAGGCTATGGCGAGCAGTCACCTAGCCGAGCTGGAGGCAGAGGAGCAACGACCAAGGTGAAGACGCCCAAAGCGACGAGGTACGCCACCATTACGTCACGCTCGACCCACGAGAGCGCCGCGCCTCGTCGAACTCGTCGCGCACGTCGAACGAGATCTGTTGCGTCTGCTGGACCTTGACTTCAAGCAGGACCTGGACGCCGCCGAGAGTGCCGGTCTGCGAGGTTGTCGGCAGAGTGTGCTGGTGACTGCGCCTGTCGCCGACTCGGAACGTCGACAGCTTAACGGCGCCGCCTGCTGCGTCGCCAACGTTGCGGCTGTAACCGCCTCGGGGAAGCTTCGGGTTGAGGGAGTCGTTCTCGCGCGAGTTCGAAAGCGTAGAGGTGATCGTCTTGCGAATGGAGAGCGTCGTGTACAGGGAGATGCCGTGCAGCGCCGGCAGAGGTACTGCTCGGTGAGAAACAGTCAGCCAACAAGGTTGCGCGCAAAGACTGAGGCAAAGCGACGCACGCCAGAACGCCTGTCCGATCGAGATCGTGTGGAAGTCGGTGCTGTGCGCGTAGGCTGTCGAGAGCGACGCGCCGACGAGCGACATGATGGAGGTGTAGGCGGCCGTCTGAAGCGCGATCGTGATAAGCTTCTTGGCAAGGCCTTCGGTCGTCGCGTTGAAGCCGCCGAGGTTGGTGATGCGGCGGTGAAGTGTGTAGGCGAGGGCGACGGAGACGAAGATGTCGGCGCTCGCGCTCATCCAGAGCCATAACGCCTGGCAAACGGTTGGCGGGATGGGGGTGTCGACGTTCTTGATGAGCTGCGGCAGGTGAGACGTGAGTCTGGTCAAGACTCTAGCAGCGAAAGATGAGGCTGACCAGGAAGCCCATTGAGCTGTAGAGGACGAAGCCGAGGAGGCCGCCCAGAATGACCAGGCCTGTCAAGCCGTAGAAGACGTAGCGGTGGGTGACGCTTTCCATCAGCTGTGTGAGCACCTCAAGCCGTCAGCAAGCTGAGTAAGCCATGAGAATCACTCGGCGCAGGGAGGAAGCGTATCGCGCCAGTGCGAACAAGGAGAAAGGTCTGGCAAACCGCCTCAGTCAGACCAGAGAGGATCGGTAACACGTTGCTCTGTGGTGGGCTACCGTGGCGACAGTGCGGAACGTCAGCACATGTGAAGGCAAGGGACGGAGGGGGGAGCGGACCAACCCGGCATAGAGCTCCGCGCTGCTTCGCAGCTGCGACACACCCGTGTCGACAATCTCCTCGTAGCTCACGCCGAGGCACATCACAAGGAGGACGCAGACCGTCCACGAGACCGCTCGCCCACGGATGCCATGCTCCTTGAGGTCATGACGGTCCGTCCTCTCCCCCTGCCTCCGCTTCTTCATGTCCGGCTGACGTTCCGCGCTGTTGCCAATGCAGCCCTCCGCAGAGCAATGTTCTGCCGATTCTCTCTGGTCTGACGGAGGCGGTTTGCCAGGCCTTTCTCCTTGTTCGCACTGGCGCGGTACGCTTCGTCCCTACGCGACTCGGTCCTTACAGCTTTCGAGTGTTGCTGATGGCTCAATTTTTTCACACAGCTGATGGAAAGTGTTACCCACCGCTACGTCTTCTACGGCTTGACAGGCTTGGTCATCCTAGGCGGCCTCCTCGGCTCGGTCCTGTACAGCTCAATGGGCTTCCTGGTCAGCTTCGCTCTTATCCTCGAATTCGGTTGATTGGAATCTCACGCCTTGTCCTCCGCAGCTCATCAAGAACGTCAACACCCCCATCCCGCCTACCGTTTGCCAAGCGGTTTGGCTCTGGATGAGCGCAGGCGCCGACATCTTCATTTCGGTCGCACTCGCCTACACGCTTCACCGCCGCATCACCAACCTCGGCGGCTTCAACGCGACGACCGAAGGCCTTGCCAAGAAGCTCATCACGATCGCGCTCCAGACGGCGGCATACACCTCCATCATGTCACTTGTTGGCGCGTCGCTCTCGACAGCCTATTCGCACAGCACCGACTTCCACACTATTTCGATCGGCCAGGCGTTCTGGCGTGCGTCCCTTTCCCTTGACCTCTGCGCGGAGCCTTCTTTGACGCTTTAGAAGAGAGCAGTACCTCTTCCGGCCCTGCACGGCATCTCCCTGTACACGACGCTTTCTATTCGCAAGTCGATTGCGTCTACACTCTCGAACTCGCGCGAGAACGACTCTCTCAACCCGACGCTCCCTCGAGGCGGTTTCGGCCGCAACGCTGGCGACGCAGCAGGCGGCGCCGTCAAGCTCTCGACCTTCCGAGTCGGCGACAGGCGCAGTCACCAGCACACTCTGCCGACAACCTCGCAGACCGGCACTCTGGGCGGCGTCCAGGTCCCGCTCGAAGTCAAGGTCCAGCAGACGCAACAGATCTCGTTCGACGTGCGCGACGAGTTTGACGAGGAGTGCAGTCTCGAGGGCAAGCTGAAGGAGTCGCTTCGATAGTGCATCACACTCTCTTTATCCCGTTTGTGCAACGAGCAGGCCTCTCTTGGGTTTCGGTCCAAACGCTTTTCCAAAATGATGCGTGCGAGTTACCTCCAACAAGATAAAGACAACAGGTGAGCTGCGGATGCGGATGCGATGCGGGAGAAGGGCGAGAGCGAAGCGTCGAAAAGCCTCAGCCGCTCGACTCGTTGTCGATGGCGGCGTAGGCGGACTCGCGGGAGACGGTACGACCGAGGCCGATGTCGTACTCGCCGCGGAAGAAGGGGTGCTCGAGACACTCTTGCGCGGTCCAGCGCTTCGTGCAGTCGAGTCTGCGCGACGAGCTTAGTCAGCTATGGCGCCTGACAAGTCTTGTGGCGACGCACTCAAGGCAGCGCTTCATGAGGTCGACGACCTGGTAGAGGTCGCTGTCGGGGTACCACTTGTTGATCTCCTCGTCGGGGCTTGGGATGGGGCCGTAGGGATCAGGCGAGTTCTCGACCATGATGGGTGGGTTGAGCGTTTTGACGAGAGCGTGCAGGTTGGCGTGCGGAGGCGAGTCGTAGTCCGGGACGTTCGTTTGGAAAGTGCGGTCTGCGCAGAGAGAAGAGTGAGCGGGAGGGTCGACGGGTGAGCAGGCTACCGAACGCACTGTGCAAGGCTGCGCAACGCTCCATCTTGCGTTTGCCGAAGATGGCGGTAATCTCGGCGAGCGCCTCGGTGTCGTCGCTCGAGTTGAAAAACGGAAAGCGGCGGGTGAGGAAGCAGAGCAGGATGATGCCGACCGACCAGATGTCGAGGGCTGCGGGCAAGAAGGATGAGAGCTTGAGTTCGCGTACTTGCGACAGCGGGCGAAGCTCGAGACGTACCGACAGTCTGGTCGGGGCATTTGAGAAGGACTTCGGGCGCACGGAAACCCCTCGTGCCGGCACGATTCGCCCGCACGCTCGGCCTGCAATCGAGGGGAGGGCGTCAGTACAATCCGGAGACAGCACAATCGACGACCTGTACGCACCTGCGGTCCTCTTTCAGGTAGCCCGGCTTCTGCTTCGCCTTCTGCGCTGCAACCGAGAGCGCCGGCCGCCAGCTCTTGTAGAACTCCTGCCGCTCCTGGATCCGGCGCTTGATATCAGACCGCCACCCGGGCGGCATCTCCCACGGCTTGTACGCCTCGAGCGCGTCCCAGTCCTCGTCCGTCACCGTCTGCCCTCTGTCCTCCTTGTCCCGCATCTTGAGATCCCACATCTCCCACTCGTTCTCCATCGCCACCGCTTGCTCGTACAAGCTGATCGGTTTGGCGAGTCGCACGCCGTGCAGACCCGAGCACAGCCCGGGACACGCATTCGGGTTCTTTTCCATCTTCCGCTGAGCGCGCGCTCGTCCTTCGAGGCCGCCGTAGCTCGGACCCGGCAGCGAATGCAAGCAGTCGCTCTTCCACTCGAACCACTCGTCGCCGCCGATCTTCTGTGCGAGACCGTAGTCGCAGAGGACGCCGGTGCCGGTCGTCACGTCGTAGAGGAAGTTGGCGGGCTTGACGTCGCGGTGGATGATCTGGAGCTGATGAGTGAAGGTGAGGGCGCGGAAGAGGCAGGAGAAGTAGGAGCGGAGGAGAGGGAGGGAAGCTGTGCGGTAGTATGTCTGGGTGGACGCTTGTTCAGCACGACACGCGACTCCCGACGGCGAGCCACTCACTCGGAAGTCCTGATGCCGGTTGAAGGGCATGACGGCGAGGACTTGGTCTTCGTGACGGATTGCGTCGATAAGGTAGGCGACGTTCGGAGCGCCGCTGAAGAAGGACAAAAGTCAGCCGAGGTCGATTCCAGAGATGTTCAGCGCGTAACGCACCGCAAGTCGTGGAGGATCTCGAGCTCGTTGTGAATGCGTACGGGACTGCTCGTGACGTAGATGCGCTTGACGGCGACGTAGACTTTGCCCTTCCGCTCGACCGGTTTCCACTGCGAGTTGTTGAAAGAGCGATTCTGCAGGTCGATTGCCTTGTAGACGGAGGAGAAGGTGCCTGCAATTTTGAGGAGAAGGGTCAGGACCCACAGGTAGACGAGTGAGCGAATGAAAGCGCACCTTCGCCTAATCGGTCGGTGAGATGGTATTTGCCCAGCAAGCCCGGCACCGCCTGTTCCAGCGCGTCCATTTCTGCCCCAATAGCCTGCAGCTCGCCCTCTGACCGCGAATCGTCCCCTGCATCCGAGTCCTCCTCTTCCTGCTCGCCCTCGCCATCGTCCTCGTCCTCCAGCTCCTCGTCCTCGACACTGGCTGCGCCGTCCGCCTCCATAGACTCGTCCTGCGACCCGTACCAGCTGCTGCCGCGCCCGTGACCCGCCTCAGCGAGCGCCTGACCCGCGACACCCTCCGCGTCCGAGACGCGCTCATCCAACGTCGACGAACCCGGTCGTGCGAGCTGCCGCCGCGTCTGGGAGCTCAGCTGTTCATCCTGCGAGCGACTGGGAAGCGGCGCGAGGACCACCTCGTCGTGCATGCCGTCGTCGTCGTCCGAGTTGGCTGAACTGGGTTGGATCTGCTTGCGCAAGTTGGAAGCGGAGCGGGTGACGCGCTGGTGCGTAGGGACGTTGAGAGCGTGTCCCTGCGCGAGTGGCGCCGTCGCAGTCATCCTCACAGCGAGCGGAAAGCGAGAGAGGAGTTGAGCGAACGAAGCCAACCTCGACGAGGAGAGGTCAACTTGGCTGCACGTGACTCGCACAACAGCATTGCACTCGTTTGCGTTGGGTAGATGCTGTTTGCAAAGCTGAAGATGCAACAAGAAGATGCGGGGAACCAGCGGCGAGCGAGGGAGAAAAGTGTCTGCAAAAACGAGGGAGAGGGGGAGCAATGAACAGCAAAACCTTGTGGCGTGTACATGCCTCAGTCTGAGAGTGAGAACGTCACAACGACGACGACAACTCAGGCGAGAAGCCCGTGTCGCCGCAACAACTCGCCCCACCGCGCCTTCTCCTCCAGCTCCGCCTCGACTTTCCTCCGGTACACCCGCAGGTCGTGCTCCGTCTTGTACCGTGCAGAGACAGACTGCTCGAGCTGCTGAACGAGGTCGACGTATTCGCCGGAAGCGGAGGGCTCGGCTTGCGCGGCGAGGGTCACTGCGGGCGCCCAGTCAGCAGGAGGTGAGTTTTGAGGAGGAGAAAGAACGTACCGCTCTCCAAGGCTGCGTTGAACTCCTACAGCGGTGTGAAAAGTCAGCAATGGCATTGGGCGAGCTCGGCCGAGCAGGACGCACCGCGTAGAGCGTATCCGCCTCCTGGCAGATGTCCGAGTACGCCTGTCGCAGCTTGGCGTTCTCGCCTTGCGCCGCTTCAAGCGCCGATTGCTTCTCAAAGGCATCGTTGACAAGCTGCGAGCGCGCATCGTCAGCGCGCGGACTAGGAGATGACAAGGGACAGAACTGAACGAACCGTCTTTGCCTCCTCCTTGAGCGCGGCCAACTCGGCCGCCAGCAAATCCCGTTCCTGCTCGAGCATCTCCATCTCCAGCGCCGAGCCGCCCGCATCGTTCACAGGAGCAGGCGAAGGCGTCCGTGGCTTAGACGCCGCCGCTTCGACAGCCGCAGCTTGAGCTTGCGCGGCGTCGACGAGGTCGGCGAGCTTGCGCGTCCAGTCGGAGAGAATCTGGACGTCGATCTTGTGCCGGGGACGCGTGTCGGTCAAGGAGGCGTTGGACAAGCGGTGCTGAGAGGAGGCGAAGCTGTTTTTCGAGCCGAAGCTCTTGCCCTGTTGCGAAAAGCGTCAGCTTTTATTGGCGCAGAGGAGCAGGAAAAGTGGACGCACAAAGACATTGCGAGTTTGAGGAGAGCGCGTCAAGGCGGTAGGCGAGACGATGCGCTCGTTCTCCTTGTTGGCCGTCGTCAACTCGCGCGAGATCTTAAGACGCATGTCGTCGACATGCTTCCGCAGTCGCTCGAAGGGATCCGGGTGAGCCTGTCAACTGATGGTCAGCCGATGAAAGCGGAGAACGAACCAAGGGAGCGGGCGCACCTCTTCCATCTGGACATCCTCGACAGCCTGGCACTGCTTCTCCGCGACGATCGCTGCAGGCGACGAGAACACATCCGGCTGCACCACATCCTTTGGCGGCGTAGCAGGTGCGCAAATTGTCGAAGTCCCGCTCGTCACCCTCCGACTGCGAATCTTGATCTGCGCGCTCGAGGACGACGGAATCCGGCGCTCAAGCGTCGAATTCGACGGCCTGCGCGGGCCCGACAGGTTGCGAACGCCTTCACCTCCATGCGCTCGTGGACCCATGCCGAGGTCGGCGAAGGACGCAACCTTCTTGGCGGGCGTTGGGCGAGGAGAGGCTTCGACGGGAGGACGAGGTCGCTTCGTAGCCGCGCCGACTGAGCTTGTCTGGGACTCTAAGCTGTGGTCGACGACGTCGGCGTAGGAGGGTGAAGACTGGAAAGTCGCGAGCGACGAGTTCGACGTGTGAGGGCGTCGCTGCGGGGTCGGCGAGTGCTCGCGGGCGAAGGGAAGGTGCGAGGGCGAAGGACGACCGACGCTCTCGTGCAGCATGGACGGCGTGCGCATGTCGCGCGGACCGATCATACGACGGCGAGTCGAGCCGACGACGGGCGGGCGATAGGCGATGGGCGAAGTGGTCGGCGCCTCCAGCTCGCGCATACCGGACCAGGGCGTGTCGAAGGAGGCGTCCATGGTCGCATCTGCATCGTCGGGCGCCTCGGGCGTGGTGGTATCGGCAGGCGAAGGCGCTCCGTACGAGAGGTCCTGAGTGGTGGTCGGCGAGTGGAAGCTGGGTTGGGCGAGTGGAGGAGGAAGCGAGAGAGAACGACGCGGTCGTCCTCGTCCGTTGTTGCGAAGTGACGTGGCTGCGATGAGGCTTGTCAGAAAGCGAAGACAGAGAGAGAGGGGTGCAACGCACCGCTTGTTGACGGAACGACGTCCATCTCGGCCACTCCGTCGTAAGCCTCCGCAGTCCTCGCTGCGCTTCCTCTGCCCGACATGCTGGCGTACAGGTCCGGTGCCGACATCTTCGCAGAGACCGGCCTGCGGTACGACTGCGAAAGCGAGTTGGGCTGAGGCGAGACGGGGCTGGAAGCGCGAGGCGAGTTCGAGGCGGAGAGGTTGGGCGTGTCGAGCGTGGTGGTCGCGGCGCTTGAGCCTTTGCTGACGAGCGAGTTTCCGCGCTTGAGGCCGCCGCCACTGGAGAAAACGTCGAAGACGCTCAGAAGACCGGAGCGAGGGCGACTGCGAGCTGAGCCGATGGGAAGAGGGCGAAGAGTCGGAAACGAAAACAAGCCATAGCTCATGCCTGCGGAGGTTGTGTCAGCCGAGGACCGGAGACCTTCGTGTGAGGCTGTACGCACCAAGTTCCGCGATTGCTGGCGCGATGCGGTCGATGCTGATCGTGTCCTCCGAGTTGCTTGCCGAGTCGTTTGACCTGACCTCGAACCGACACCGCTGGGACGGCAAGAGCGTCGCTCGCGCCAGAACGACCGGTCGCGCATCCTTGCCGTAGTCGAGTGAGGGAGAACCCTCATCGACAACGTGCAATGCCAGCTTGCCCTGCGGAAAACGCGGCTTAGTCGAGCCAGGGAGAGTGGCCATCAGAGCAACGCACCTTCTGCGTGCCACGCAGCCTTTCGTACGACCGGCGATCCCAAAGTGCCCAGTACACCTCGCTCGTCTCGCCTGAAGATCCGTCCGCCAACATCGCCTTTCCGCGCTTCGCCGCCTTCGCTCCGTCCTTCAGCTTCGCCCGCATGACCGCCTCGGCAAACCTGCCAAACCACGCCTCCTTCTCCGCCCGCTTGACGTCCGGAGCGTATGTATTGGCGACGACGAACTTGCGTGCTGGGCGACCGCACCACCGCTCAGACTGGTCGACCGGCGGATGGTCGAAAACGAGGCCGAACTCGGGCGCTGCTGCGCTCGTGCCGAAGTCGACAGCGACGACTTCTGCAAGGTCGACGAGACCGCGGAAGCCGAGGACGCCCTTGCGAAGCTTCTTGGGCGAACCAAGCAAGCTCGCTTGGGTCGACGAGAGATGCGAGGTCTGGTAGAGCGAAACGGTGCGATCGATGTCGTCCACGCCGGCATGCACCTTGCCCGTCTTGTCCCCCGAAGGCCGTTTCGCAATGAGGACCTTGTCGTTGAAGAGGAAGAGGGTGCAGCGGAGGGTCGTCGGTCGTGAGTCGGCAATCTCGATGATCTCGTCAGCATCGATGCAATCGATAAACTCGCGGTCAAAACCGACGAGCGCGTCGGGAAAGCCATCGATGGTCTCCTTGAGACTCCAGAACGTCGCAGCCCGCTTCGTCGCATCGTCGACTTGCATGCTGCAGATGTCGGTGAGGATGCCGATCGCAATCTGGAGCGGCTCGACGTTCGGGTCGTCTGGCGGAAGATGGAAGATGATGGCTGCGCATGAGAACGGGGGTGAGTCGGCGGTCTCGGAGTGAACGGGCGATGGGGACTCACGGTCCAGCATCAACCGGTACCGTGACACTCGCTGAAACGGCTCAGCCAAAAACTCCTTGAACCCTCCAGTCGCCTGCGCCGTCTCACGGCTGTGCACCTGCGTTCGCTCAACAAATTCGCGGAAAGACGAGTTGTGCTTGTCGAGTTCGCGCCGGATCGCTTCGGACGCGCTGACGTTGGCTAGCCACTTCTTGTACGGCTCCATCCGCTCGACCTGCGCGTTCGACCGTCAGCTTCGCCTGCTTGCTTGCAGAGTTGGGGAGAGCCAGGCGCACATGTTGCAAGATCACTTCGCCATAGTCGCTGGGCAGACTTGACTTGTCTTTTTGCATCTGCGAGACAAGCTGTCGCAGGTCCGCCTCGAAAGCTTCGGCGATCGGCACGAGCTGTTCGAGGTTGATGAAGAGGTGCGTCGCCTCGAACGGCGGGATGACGGCTGTATCGCGGCGCTTCGAGAAGGTGCGGAGAGGAATAGCGTAGTCCTGCGCGACAGGCATCCTCGATGAGTCTTGAATGAGCTCGTGAAGCGAAGCCAACGCACCTTGAGCAAGCTGGACACCTTCCGCAAGTAACTCTCCTCCGTCACCCACAACTCGTGCAGGCTCTGCCTAACCTTGTCGAAGTCGACTTTGGGGACTTTCCCGGGCGTCATGGGTCGTATGGGCTGCGGCTGAGATGAGCTGGATTCGGGTAGGGTGATGGGCGAGCCAAGCGAGTTGAGGAAGTCGGAGGCGGGGCCTGTCATGGAAAAGCAGGTCAGTCCGGCGATGGAGGCCACGAGCCCCGCCCGACGTACCTGTAGGGTACACACAGACTCCGTTTTCGTCCAGCTCCAGGTCATCCACCACGACATCGCAGAAGACTGCCCTCCTCTTTCCCTTGGCGACAGCGCTGAGACTGGCACCGGCATCGCCATGGGACCTGCTCCGCACATGACTCCCCTGCTGCTGCGTTCGCCTGAGCGAGCCTGTACCCAATGGCTGGTGGTAAGAGCGCGAGAGTGACGGGCTGATGTTGGCGGATGTCGAGGCGGAGAGGAGCGTTTGGGCGCGTTGTCGCTGCGAGGGACCGGTCGAGGGTGCTCGTGCGACTGCGGGCGCTGCCATTGATGCTCAAGGATGGCTGCTGAGCTGCAGCTAGGGATGCTGAGACCGAGTCGAGGAGGACGACGTCGAGGAGAGGCGGGGAGGTTGAGTGAAAGAGCGACGAGCGAAGGGGCGATCGTAGGCTAGTGGGCGGTGTTGCTGAGCTTCTAGGTGTACTCTGAGCGCAGGCAAGCAGCCAGACTTCGAGAACGAGGCGTGTGGGTGTGGAAGGAGCCGTTCCGCTGCCTCGAGGCCATCAAGGCGACGTCGCGTTCAAGTCAAGCTTTTCGATGGCATACTGAGCCTCTCAGCGCTCATTGAAACGAGTGGAGTGTCTGCTATTCCATCGGGATTTAGTCCCGGTACCGGTGGTGGTGACGGTGCCGCCTTCGCGGCTTCTCGTCGTAAGAATCGGAATCGCTGCTGTCGGACGTGTCGCTGTCCTGGTACCGTCTTCCTCGTCCCCCACCTCCACCTTGCGAGTTGCGGTGCATGGCGAAGATGAAACAGCCGGCGAGGAGGAGGAGCGCGAGGAAGCCGCCGCCGAACATGAGGAATTTGGTGTCGTTCGTGGAGAGCGAGGTCGAGCCTGTCGAGCCCGTCGTCGAGCCTGCTCCTCCCGTCGTACCGCCTGTACCTGCGCCAGTACCCGGACCTGCACCAGCCCCGGCACCTGAACCGTCGCCAGACTCGCTCGAACCGGTACCCGCCGCCTGCGAAGGGCGTGGTCAGCGCACAATCACGTGAAAGAGACGATAGTAACGTACGCCTGCAGCAGTGTCCGTCGGCGAGCTCCCTGCCGTACCCGCAGCACCTCCAGTCGAGGCTGCGTCTGTCGCGCCATTCGTTCCCGTTCCCGACGCCGCCGACGCGCTCGCGTTACCACCGGACGCTGCAGCTGTCCCCGTAGCACCTGTTGCACCGGTCGCACCTGTTGCGCCGGTCGCACCTGTCGCGCCAGAGTTGGTCGCGCCGGACGAAGCGTATCCGCCGCCAGAACTGGCGGGCTATGGCGCGAAGCCTGTCAACAGCCGAACTTGTGGAGGAGAACGAGCGTACATACCGCAGCAGGACCACTCCCTGTGCCCGTAACCGTAACCTGCGGAGAGGAAAAGGTGAGAGGGGTTAGCAAGAAAGGAGAGCAAACAGAACGCACCATCTTGTTGTTGTCCCAGCCTGGGCATGTCAGCGAGATCTGGAGGGGAACGTGAGTGCTACTCGCCTGCTCTTGAGCCGGCTTGACGCACCTTGGGACTGCTGGCCGAGGCCTTGCCGCCGTAGAATCTGCAAGTCAGACTCGTCAGGCTCTTCTCACCGTCTGCGAGCAAGCCTCGTGACGCACACCTGCGGACCTGGGTTGGGGAAAACATCGTCCGTGCCCTCCGTGTTGACGCAGACGCCCTCACCGAAAGTGTTCACGCGGTAAATCTGCGGACCGGTGAACGACTTGGCGGTCCCGCTGACCGAGACGACGGCGGCGTTTTGGTACATCTCGCGGTTGCCTGTCTCGTTCACCCAGGACCACCAGAAGATGCTGCGGGCGCGGGGTATCGGAGGGCTGCTCGTCAAGCGAGAAAGGGGATTCGGCGTACCACTGCGGGCGGGACGCGTCAGCTACGACACCTCAAGGCAAGCTCGAGAGCCGCGCACCTTATCACATCCAGGGATGTCAGGAACCTTGAACTTGTACGGCCTGCTCTCGAAAAGGTCAGCATAAGTATGCAAGTCGGAATCTGCGAGGCGATGCACTTCTGCAGTGGGCAGCCGCCAATCCAGCTAGCCATGACGACCATCGTCTTCATGAGGTCGTAGCTGTGGGAGGGACGCCGGTCAGGCTCAACGAAAGAAGGCGGTGAATCTGTGAGCAGCAGCGACGAGCCTCATGCCGACTTGACAACTTCCTCTGCAACGTCAATATGCGATCAGCCAAGCAAAAAACCGGCTGGACAGAGCCGGAGCCAGGCAGCCGCACCCGTTATGTGTCGCTGTTCCTGCCAAGTCCCACGAGAACTCCTGGCCCGCCACGAGCGTCGCAACCGGCTTGTAGCTCGCCAGAGCTTCGGCCGTCACGAACTTCTTGGCTGGGAAGTCGGAGCCGTCTTTAGCGAGCGGGCTGGTCATCGAATACGAGTTGTGCGAGCCTCTGGCGGGCGAGGCAGGAAGGCGTCTGTCAGCACGACGGAGGATATGCACGCCTTGAGGAGCGTTACTCACTTCTGTTCCTCGGTCACTTGCGGGTCACTTTTGGACCACATCGCGTACGGCGAGACGAGCTCCATGTGAGCGTGCGCAGCGGGGGCGAGCAGGAGAAGCAGCGCGAGCCATCGCAGCGATGAGCGGTGTTCCGGCATCGTTGCGTGCCAGCAATGATGGTCAGGGTGAGTGACTGAACCAGCGAAAGCATCGGCGGGAGGGGTGGCGAGGGTGCTGGTCGGAGTATCCGCGGACAGACGACGGGGCGGTTCGAGCTGTCAGCATCGCCCTGCGAGTCTGCAGCAGCCGCGACGGCACTGAGGCAACCATTCCAGCTGCCTTGCATGCCCGCAACCCCCTCCCGCGAGACGCGTAGCGGTGTCGTCCCCCCGGCTGATGAGAATAGCGAGGAGACGAAGCAGGACAATGGGAGCGCCTGCAGGGTCGGTCGACTGTATGAGCCAGCTCCTTAATTCAGCAAAGAGTCAGCGAGCCCTCGTCGGTACCAACAAGCGATGTTGCGAGAGCGCAAGACGTCGACCCCACCTCGTCGCCCTCCCCGACGACCCTTGACGTCGTCCCATACGCTCACACGGCTCCTGCGATGACTGTTTCGCTTCCAGCACGCTCTTTGGCTATCCCGCTCGATGCTGCGCCGACCGAACAACTCGCCCACCTCTCTCGCTTGAAGCGCTCCGTCGTCGGGACTCAGGCGGCAAAGGCGGCCGCTCTGCAGGCTAGCGGCGTGGACAGGTGCGTATGGCATTGCTGAGGATTGTTGAGAGTGGCTGACCATTCGGCGGTCCCGCAGCCTGGTCGCCCTCCTCCAGCCTCGCCCCGAATCCGACGTCGAAGCCTCTCTCGCCGTCAGTTCTGAGGCAGCCAACGTCCTGGCGGCCCTGTCGATTCGTGAGTGGCTCAGTGTACTGAATCGATTTGCTCAGCTGACGCTCGCCTTCGCAGCCACCATCGACGCCGTCTCGACCCTCCTCGCGGCTCACGCCCATCAAGCCGTCTGCAAATCCCTTCCCTTCATTGCCTCTCTCGACACGACAGACGAGGGCTTTCTTCCTTCTCGCTACAAAGTCGTCGAGTCGCATCTGCGCGCGCTGAAGGCGCTCTATACCGACCTGGTCAAGGTCGTCGGTCCACGACAATGGGGCACGGATGTTATCGGCGCTTCGATTGACGTTGCCGAAAGACAAGACGCCGAGTCAATGTGGAAGCAGGAGGATGTGCGGAAGATGCGGGCGAGCAGGGGAAAGGGCAAGGGCAAAGGTCGGGAAGACGAGACGATGAGCGAGGCGGACAGCGACGCGGGACTTGCGGGACTCTTGTCACAGGCTCGAGCCGCGCTTGACGTGGTTTATCGCATGGAGACGGATACTGCTGCTCCATCGGTCGCCTCGTCCAGCATCGCTTCTCTCCCTTCGACCAGACACACTCGCTCGCCAGTCCTCGACACCCTCCTCGACCTCCTCATCCGTTCATCCGAGGAGGACACGCATCCCGCCATCCCTTCGGTACCTCAGCGAATGCGCATCGCCGAATTCGTCTGCAACTTCTTCTCCGGCACCGTGCGGTGGCCGCACCAGCGACGGGCGGTGACGAGCGGCGAGAAGGGCAAGGAGGCGCTGGCTGCGTTACGGAGACTGGCGGATAAGGGGACTGACAAGGTGCGCTTGAGCTGCACTGCAGTCGCTCGATTCGTCTGCTTACGCTCGTTTCGCAGGTTCGCGAGGCTGCTCTGAACGCGATCACGGCGCTCATCCGCGACTCAGGCGACTCGATGCTCACGCTCCTCAGTGCGTGCACCTGCTAGCCTCGCTGCCATACCGAAGCTGATGAAACGTCCGTGCGCAGACTTGGGCCAAGGCGAGACCCTCCGCACCCGCCGCCTCCCCTTCACCTCGCTCTGCCAGTCTCCCGTCCCTCCCGTCCGCCTTGCTGCCGCCACTCTCTGCGCCGTCCTCGGCAAGCTCCTCTACCCTCCGCCGGCGTTGCACATACCCGACGGCGAGCTCGGCACGCCCGCGACGAACGTCTTGCTTAGCTTGATCGAGCAAGAACCGACGCTGCGAGCGCGCGCTGCATTCGCCTTCGGTGCGTGAGCTCCTCGTCTTTTCAGGCTTGACGACTAACGCCCGTCTGCTCGCAGCCTACCTCGTTGCGGACGAGCTGCCGTTGCAGAAGCGAGCGCTCGCCGCACGATGTTTTCAGATCTTTAAGACCGTCCTCGACCAGCCTTTGCTACTGGATCAGCCATACCCGACGCCCGCCGCGCTCGAAGAAGACGGCCGGATGCGCGAGGTGCGTCGCGGCTACCCCGTTTGAACGGCTGGCAAGGCTGACATTTTCCCGCGCGGCAGGGCATCCTCCTCTGCATCGCTTCCATGACCGCGATCTCCGAAGAGCAGCGTCGCCTAATGCTGCAAGCGCACCTCCTCGCACCGGTCCTCTCCTCCCTCTCTCACCCCTTCAGCACCGTTCGCGCCGCAGGATGCCACTGTATCCGCGCGCTCTCCCGGAGCGTGAACGTCTTGCGTACAGATCTGGTTGAGAGTCATGCGGAAGGACCGCTGGTGGCGTTGTTGAGGGAGGACGAGAATGAGGTTGTCAAGGTTACGGCTATGGCGGCCTTTGCGAATTTGCTGCTCGACTTCTCGCCCATGCGCAGTGTGAGTGCGGACCGTGCCATGTCTATTCACATCGCGCTGAACCCGAAGGACTGACTCGTCGACTGCCTCCGCGAGACAGGTCCTGGTCGACGCCGGCTGCGTCCCGAGGATGTGCCAGCTCGCCGTCAAGTCGTCAAACGAAGCGCTCCGCCTCAACGCGATGTGGGCGATCAAGAACGGTGCGTCACTCCTCGCCAGCGTGAGAGGGCGTACTGACGACTCATTGGATTTCACAGCGACGTATCAAAGCAATGCCGACTTCAAGCAGTGTGTCCTCGCCTGCTTGACGTGGGACGACCTCGCCTCGTGCGTTTCCTTCCCCCCCACTCGTCCGCATTCGCCTCTAACCCATTCCTGCGCAGCCTCCTCTCCCCCTCCTCTCCCCGACCAATAGTCGAACAAGCCCTCGGCATCCTGCGTAACATCACCTGCGTCACAAACAACGAAGCGATCACGGGACTCGGAAGGGACGAGATGGGCGAGGAGAGGTTGTTGGGATTGTTGGAGGCGTGGGTTGCGGGCGGTTCGACGATGGCGAGAGGCGGAGGGGAGGAGGGAGGAGAGGTGGTCGTGCTGGTGTGTCCACGTTCACTATCGAGTTCGCAGCTCCTGGCCGGTCCTGCTGACTTCAATCTGGACCGGTGGTCTCACAGGCCATCTACTGCCTCAACAACATTGCAACGGCGCATGAGGCGGCTCAGCTCGCCATCGCCTCGCGGACAAGCCTCCTGCGACACGTCCTCGGCTACCTTGTGCGTCATCTCTGCTCACAACACACCTCACAGTCCCCAGCTGACGCTGTGACAACACCCGTAGGACTCTCGCTCGCTCGAGCTGCGCGTCGCCTCGCTCTGGCTGCTGCACAACCTCGTCTACCGCCGCTCGCTCTCGTCGTCGTCCTCGCTCGCCGCACGACGCCCGCACGAGATCCTCGACAAGCTGCGCGCGATGGGACTCGAGGCCAAGTTAAGGATGCTCGAGCGGGATCCGGAGCTGGATGTCAGGGAGCGCGTGAGGGATCTCAGGGAGATGCTCGGGTGAGGATGAAGGTCGTCTTCAAGGTGCAGGTGTACTCGAAACCATCCTCGCTCGTCTTTCACCTGCAACGGCGGGTCCTCTTCCAGGGGAAAATGAACGGCGACTCGTCGTCGCTTCGTTCGAGTTCGTTCGCGCGTAGAGTTGTTCCACGCGCGCAATACACTGCGAGTAACCCCGCTCTGCGCCGTAGTCTGCCTGGAAGCGGAAAGCAGTCGTCGTCGTCGTCGAGGTCCAGCCTCCGCCTCGTTCGCCTCTCGCAAGTCGAGTCGCACGGGACAACACCAGCGTGCGTGCCTCAGACCGAGCAGGCGAGCACACAGACACGCGCAGCTGACCACTTGCTCCATCCCCGTCCTTGTCCCGCTCTTCCTCGCCCATCTCGTCGTCACCACACACTCGCCATCTCGCTCGACTCGCCACGCACTCGCCCTGGTCTGCCTGCGACGCGCTCTGTTGACTTGACAACACTCACTTGGCCTTACTGCGACGCGCTCGCCCCGTGCCGCGACACCCACTCCACCCGACACAGCCCTCGAACCCCCTCCTCCCTCAACCTCGCTCGCTCTCTCACCCACCCGCCAGCTCAACCCGCCAGATCCACGATGTCTGCCGAACAGGACCGCGCCGAGGCCATCTACATGGCCAAGCTCAGCGAACAGGTGCGCGCGCTGGTTCCGGAGCGGGAGACGAGGTGGACAGGAGACGGGAGGCTTGGGCACACGCATCTCGCAATGCCGCCGTCCTTGTGCTCCCGCGACGAGGACGATGTGTGCTGATCTTGTTTGTGCTTGCAGGCGGAGCGCTACGACGAGGTGGGTTTTCTCGCTCGCTGTTCCCTCCTCCTTACCCTCCCCTTCACATGCACATCCGCCCACCGCCGCCGAGTCTGCGCGTGTATCGCTTGCTAACAATGTCTCTGCTGAACATGCATTCTCTGCTGCTCTATCGCCTTCTCACCGCTTCGCCTCATCCGCCTCGACCTCGACTCCGACCTCGAACCTCTCCTCTCTGTCCCATCTGTGACATTGGCTGCCGCAGATGGTGTCGCAGATGAAGTCCATCGCGTCGCTCAACTCGGAGCTCTCGATCGAGGAGCGCAACCTCCTCTCGGTCGCGTACAAGAACGTCATCGGCGCGCGCAGGGCTTCGTGGAGGATCGTCTCGTCCATCGAGGGCAAGGAGGAGGTGCGTAGCCGGGTCGTCCGCTCACGTGTTACCGGGCGTCGAGACTGACGGACTGCTTGGCGCGCGCGCAGGCCAAGGGCAACACGTCTCAGGTCCAGGCGATCAAGGCGTACCGCGAGAAGATCGAGAAGGAGCTCGCCGACATCTGCGAGGACATCCTCTCCGTTCTCGAGAAGCACCTCATCCCCTCGGCCGAGTCGGGCGAGTCCAAGGTGTTCTACCACAAGATGAAGGGCGACTACCACCGCTACCTCGCCGAGTTTGCGACCGGCGACGTCCGCGGCAAGAACGCTGACGCGTCCCTCGAGGCTTGTGAGTGGTCCCGTCTGCGGCTGCGGCTCTGTCCGGATGTTGGCGGGACTGGAGGCTGACTTCGTCCCTCGTTCTCGCCTGCAGACAAGAACGCCTCGCAGATCGCTTCGCAGGAGCTCGCGCCGACGCACCCGATCCGTCTCGGCCTCGCGCTCAACTTCTCCGTCTTCTACTACGAGATCCTCAACTCGCCGGACAAGGCCTGCTCGCTCGCCAAGACGGCGTTCGACGACGCCATCGCCGAGCTCGACACCTTGAGCGAGGAGTCCTACAAGGACTCGACGCTCATCATGCAGCTCTTGCGGGATAACTTGAGCCAGTCGACGCCCATTTCTCTGGACTTGGCGCGAGACGCTGACTTTCCCACCCTACAGCCCTCTGGACTTCGGACCTCTCCGAGGCTCCCCAAGACGCACCCAAGGCCGAGGACAAGCCCGAGCAGGCGCAGGCGACCGGCGAGGAGGCTGCCTGAGCGCCCCGCATCCTCTCTGCACCTCTCGACTTCTCTCCCTCTTCGCCTCTTTCTCCTCACACCCCGCTTGCGTTTTTGTCAGTGTTCCGAGATTCGAATTCAATCGCCGTTTTGCCCAATTCTGTGCGTCGAGCGAGAGGCGTGGCACCTCCGGCGAGGAGAACGGGCCCTCGCTTCGTCTCTCGTCGACCTTCTCGCCCGCGCTCTTCTCGCGCGTTGCCACTTCCATGCTTTCGTTCTCTCGCTCGTCTGAAACCCCGCCTCACGTCTTGGGACGCCCCTTCGGCCGCCTGACTTGAAAGCCTGACGGTTCTTGACGGAGCGGCGTGATGCGGTGGTGGAAACCGTCCGTCTCACGGGCGGGCGAGGCGGGTCGTCCCCTCCTTGCAACGGCTTGCGCTTTGTGTGCGAGTTGCGAGTGGTCGTGCGCTGCTCTCGAGGCTCACTGGCTTCCTTGCAAGCTGGACGAGCGAGGGAGTGACGAACTCGCTCTCTCTCTTACCACGCACGCTCACCCCAAGTCCAGCAGCTGCGACGACGGAATACCAGAACGAGAGGCATTGCGGGCGCGAAGAGAGTCAAGCCAGCCAGCCCGCCCGGCCGAGCAGCAAAAAGAAGCGGAAGGTTCTGAGGGTGAGGAGACACACGTCGAGAGATTGGACAAAGTCATAGAGACTTGCCACGTTGTGGATGTTAGTTTGCAACTAGCAATAGGAGATGACTCGGTTATAAAGCTCACTGTCTACCTCGCGTGCCCGAGCACAAAGATAAGTCGCACAGCGAGGTCTGCGATACGTTAGCAAAGCGAGTTGTATGCCGGTGTCGACGACGGGGTGGGTGCCAATCTGCCTCCCGTTGTGCACCTCATCTGACTGGCGCGACGGGGGCAGAAGGTGACTTCGTCCATGCTTCTTGACTCGGGAGGTCGGTGCAAGGGCCGGAGGGGGCTGTTGGGTGTGTTCAAGCACCGGCAGTTCGCCTTAAGCTTGTAGAAGCATGTAGGGCACAGTGTATCTCCACGAGATTCGCAATTGTCGGACGAAGAGGGAGGGGAAGCTGTAGGAGGATGCGAAAGGTAGCATCCTTCTTACGGAAGCGCTGAAAGCTGAGCCAAGTTGATAGGCTCATGGACCTTGACACTCAGACTCGCACTGCGTCTTGCTGCCATTGCGCAACTGGGCCGTCCGCCCTCCATCCGCCGCATTCGTGGCTCCGTGATCTGTTGGAGACCGCAAACGTCTCGCTCGACAAGTCCAGTCCAAGTGACCAAGCCGAGGCATCGTAGCAGGGTCTGACAGCAGTGCCCTTGCAAGCATTGTGCTCAGACCGAGCAGGGAGAGCGAAGAGAAGGGAAGTGCAGGGCGGTCCGGCAAGAAGTCCCCATCCTCAGCCACACGGTCGTCCATCGTGGTCCTGACTCCCCGCGTCCGTCTCGTGCACCATTCCCCGTAGCTTGACGCTTGTCTCGTGCGTGGCGAGCCGGTGGCAGCAGCGGTTGAGTCGCCTCGAGCGGTTGCGACTGATGAGGATGCGGCACAGCGTGGGAAGCCTCGGGTGGCGCGTAGTCGTATCGCCGGAAGTCGTGAAGCCCAGTTAGCACATTCAGAGGGCCAGCAAGCGGCCTCATTCGGTTGCGAGTGCATGGTACGGCTCCAAGGCGTCTCGGGGAGAGCGCGCGCCTCTTGTTCTCCTTTGCCTCACTCGACTCCGCTGGATTGGTTCGTTTGTCTGCTTGCTGGCCCTTTGCTAAGCTGCATTGACTGCTGGACCTACTCGTGACCCGTGCAAACCTCACCCTCGCTAAGCCTCGTGCCTCAATATCGGCGCGTCGCTGTCCTTTCCCTCGCTCTCCTCACGCTGCATGGAGAGGCGAAGGAGCGTGAGCGGCGGCCAATGAGCCAGACCATCCAGGCGGCCGCAATTGGCAGCGCTAAATCGCTTCCTCCAGTCGTCGGCTTCCTTGTTCGTCGCGGAGGTCGGACGATGCGCATAGCAGACTATTCACATCTTCCAGCGTGTACTGACCTCTCTGCGTCCTGCCCACAATGATTCTGCGCAGGAGCCCGGACAGGCGGCACACCACCACCGCTCCTTGCGGTATCGCGCAGCCTTCTCTTGCCGCCCACAAACTGCTTTCGCCGCGCACTGTGCAGTCTGACCAGGGCTCAGATGACACTCTTGGGCCCGACTTAGACAGATGCCAACACACGAAGCAGGGTTGTGCAGTTTCGACGTCAAGGGGTCCGCAGGAAGGACAAGGCGACTGCTCGAGATCGTTCCGCTCATCATCGACTTCAGCGCACTTGCTGTGCATTCTCAAAAAGACTTGCTTGCCTCGCCTCTTCGCTCCTTCACTGTTGCGAGGGGACTTCGAGTTTCCTCCTCTTCTGCTTTTCCGTCTTCTCCTTGCGCATGGGCTCAGCCCGGCCCCTCCTCCCAACACGCTGCCGGAAACGCTCTCTTTGCTAAGGTTGTGTGCACTTCTGTGCCTCCGCAGTTTGCACGGCTTCCGTAGCGCTCACCATGCTCATCCCTTCCTCGCCCTCGCTTCCTCGTACTCGCCGGGCTTGCGCTCATTCACTTTCTTCCCGTTTGATGGGTCTCTTTGGAGCGAAAAGCTAGCAAAGCTTCTTGTGATGCTGCTGTCACATGTCGGAGACTGCACGGGATTGCGAAAAGGCTCAACAGAGAAGGGCGTACTCCACGGCTTCTTCTCCCGGGTTGACTGGCATTCCTCTCGACATGGTTCATTTCTCTGTGCATTCTTTCGCTTAGTCAAGAGTGCTTCCGGCTGTCAATGGAGACACCGCCACAAGATACAACGACCTTTGCGACGGACTTGACCTTCCTAGCATGCCTTTCCTGCGCGCTGGCTGTCTTCCATCAATATGAGGTCTCCATTCTTCCTGTGAGTGTTATAGCAGCTAGCCAACACCTCCCATGAGCAGCCCAGGGACCAGCCAGTCGAGGGCTGGCCGAGAGGCAATTCGGGGGACGAGGGTGCTCAAGCACCTCGACCCAGCCCCTCCGTCCCTTGCACCAACCTCCCGAGTCATGAAGCATAAACGGAGTCACCTTCTAACCCCGGCGCGCCAGGCTAGCGAGACACAGGAGCGAAGACAAGTAGTGCCCACCCCGTCGTCGACACCAGCACACGACTCGCTTTGCTAACGTAATCCACACCTTTGCGAGCGACTCATCTTTGTGCTCGGGCACGCGAGGTAGACAGTGAGGTTTATAACCGAGTCATCTCCTATTGCTAGTTGCAAACTAACATCCACAACGTGGCAAGTCTCTATGACTTTGTCCAATCTCTCGACGTGTGTCTCCTCACCCTCAGAACTTCCGTTTCTTTTTGCTGCTCGGCCGGTCGAGGCTCGCTTGTAACGCCTTCGACGTCTGCAATGCATGTCGTCCCGATGCTTCGTCGTCGCAGCTGCTGGGCCTCGGAGTGCGTGAGCGAGCGAGAGTGGTGAGAGCGAGCGAGAGTTCGTCACTCGTGACGCTCGTCCGGCAAGGAAGCCAATGAGCCTCGAGAGCAGCGCACAACCACTCGTGACTCGCACAGGAAGCGCAAGCGGCCGTTCGAAGGGCACGACGACCCGCCTCGCGCGCTCGCGAGACGGTTTCCACCACCGCTGCATCCCGCCGCTCTCGCTCCACACGCTCCGAAAAGACCGCTTGCTCGGCGCCTGGCCGACCCAGCACCTCAACATGGCTCGCACGGCGCGCCGCTCGACCGCCAAAGCCGCCGCCGCCGAGCCCGCCGACCCTCCACCTCGCGCAGATCAGGACGGCGAGAACTCGACAACGGGAACCGCTGAGGGCGTGGCGACCACGGCAACGGGTGTAGGAGAGGGTCAGCCTTCGGAGGGCGCCGCGCACGACCCGTCGGATGCGGTGGGCGGCGAAAAAAGTCACCTCGAAGGTGTTCCAGCGGATGCGTCGACGCCGATGGAGCTCGACGCAGCAGCGGAGGGGCACTCGGACGGGTCAGCAGCGGTTGTGAACGGGGTCATGGATGGCTCAGTGGCCGCGCAAACCGCATCCACTGCGATCGCCCCGCCGGTCTTCGCCTCGCCTGCCAACTTGCCTCCCATCCCGTCGACCTCGCAGCAACCTCCGCCAAAGCGCGAATATACGGCGGAAGAGGTTCACGTATGGCGGGAACAGCAGATTGACGCGAAGCAGGCCGAGGTGCGCTCCACTTCCACACACCATTCCCCTCGGCCAGGCAGACGAGCTGATTCCTCGCGTTTGTCCTGTTACAGCTGGCTGAGATCGTCGACCGCCATGACGACTTTGTACGCGAGCTCTTCCACCTCGACCGCTTCGTCACGCTCGTCGGCTACGATCCCGCTGTCGCAAAGGGTTCGTCCCAGTCTGCTCTCCCTCCTTCCATTTCTATCTGAGCCAATCACCCCACACAGCCGACCGTTCCGACGTCTTCCAGTCCTTCCAAGCCAACTACGACCTCTTCCTCAACGCGACGCCGGATGGAGCAGCCGAGGGGTCAGGTCGTCGCGGTACTCGGCGAGCGACGACCGAACGGAAGATTGGCGCATTGGCTACGCCCGACACGGGCGGTCGCTGGGGAGACCCAAAGGGCAAGGGGAAGGCGCGGGAGGACTCGAGCGGACCGATGTTCGAAGCGAGCGGATCCGGGCGAGCGGGAGGGAAGAAGGCGGTTGGACCAAGGGGCAAGATGGCGGGAAGTGGCAGCCCTGCTCCTTCATCGTACTATGGTGGAGGATCGCCATCTCCTGCCCCTTCGGCCGATACGCCTTACAAGAAGCGTCCTTCCGACGTCCTCACCCCTTCTCGCTCGACGTCCCAGATCCCATTCAACCTCCCGCCCCTTCCTGCTCTGCCTGTCGGCGTCGGCTACAAGCCCGTCGTTGCCAACCTTGCCGACCTCCCCGGCATGCTCAAGGACGACCTCCCTCCGCTCTCGCCCCGATCCGTCAAGCGCCGCCGCCTCTACGCCGCATCCGACGTCACCTACTCGCACATGTCCCAACTCCCGCCAGATTCCGAGTTCGACTTCTCCCTACCCGCCTTTCTCAGCTCGTGGGTCTCGCTCGACGACGACACCGACATCGCGCCTCCTCCGCCCGAAGAAGAGCTCGACGCGCGAGCCGAGTACGAGCACGACATCCTGCAGCAGGTCGAGGCGATACGCGCCGAGGGTCGCGAGCTATGCAACCCGGACCGAACGCAGTCCGCCGAGGCGAAGCGGCCGAAGGACCACCAGGACTGGCTCGTCGACCACGCCCTCTACTTCTCGCAGCTCGTCATGCAGGAGCGCAAGTCGCACATTGCACTTGCGAGGAAGACGGCGCGGATGGTCATGAAGCACTTTGAGGAGATTCGCGGCAAGGAGGATCGCGAGCAGAAGGAGATTGAGCGGAACCAGAAGGCCTTGTCGCGGTGGACTCTGCGCGAGGTCCGCAAGAAGTGGAAGATGGCCGTCAACGTGCGTCTATCCGCTTAGATCGCTCAGTGGGCGTTCCTGACCATCAGCGCATGCAGGTCGTGCGTGCTCGTCGAAAAGCCGAGCAGCAGAAGGAGGCGAAGCGTCTCGGCAAGCAGCAGCTCGACCTCATGCTGAACAAGTCGACTACGATGCTCCAGGCGCAACAGCAGGAGATGGCTGGCGAAGGCTCGTCAGACGAGGAGGAAGAGGAGGAGGACGGGGAGGAGGGTGAGGACGAGGAAGACGAAGAAGAGGATGAGGGGGACGCCGAATCGACCTCGCAAGCGGCGTCGACGCCGGCCGACAGCTCTCCCGCGGCGACTCCACCGCCCAAGGCGAATGGCCGGCGAGCACGTCGCACCGCCCGCTCTCGCCTGTCGACCTCGGCCACGCCCGGCGACGCCGACGAAGATGCAGGCGACGCGTTCGCTGGCGCAGAGGACGATGCGGAGCGGGACAAGGAGGACAACGTCTTTGCCGCCGAGATGGAGGCAGAGGATGAAGACGATGACGACGAGATGGCGGGTCTCGCTGCCGAAGCCGACATGCCCATCGAGGAGCTGCTTCGACGATCAGGCTACGCTGCGATGATGGCGGAAGAGGCGGCAGGTGGTGGTGAAGCGGAAGAGGAGGAAGGAGAGGAGGATGAGGAAGAGGAAGAGGGCGAAGACGACGCGAGCATAGCGGACGTTGTGGATGATGCCGCCTCAGAGCAGGACTCTGCGGTCAAGTCGACGTCCAGTACGAACGCCGCGCCGTCGCCTTCGACTCCGGGCACCTCAGCACCCGCCGGACCCGAGTTGACCGCCGAGGAGAAGGAGGCGGAGGCGATGTCCGAGTTCGGCTCTGAAGCCGGCGACGACGAGCGTGACGACGAGGACGCGCGGATGGCGAAGGAGATGGAGGCCGAGGAGGGCGAATCGGACGACGAGGAGATGAAGGGTCTCGCGGCGGAGGCGGACATGCCGATCGAGGAGCTGATGCGCAAGTACGGGTACGGCGGTGGGGAGTCTGCTGAAGCTACTGCTGGCGAACCGGACGGCGCCGTGAAGGCTGAGGAGGAAGAGCGCAAGGTGTCTCCCGAGCCCGAGGAGGAGGACGAGGGCGACGAGGCGAAAGGCGAAGAGGACGCCGAAGACAAGCCTGAGGATGGCGCAGACCGGCAGATCGTCCATCTCAAGCCGCCATTCCTGCTCCGCGCGACCCTGCGGCCGTACCAGCAAGCCGGCCTCGAATGGCTCGCCAGTCTCTACACGAGTGGCGTCAACGGGTGCGTGCAACCGTTCTGATCGTGCCTCTTCTCTGACTGACCCGCGTGTCGTTACAGCATCCTCGCCGACGAGATGGGTCTCGGCAAGACGATCCAGACGATCTCGCTTCTCGCCCACCTCGCCTGCGACAAGGGGCAGTGGGGGCCGCATCTCGTCGTCGTCCCAACCTCGGTCATGCTCAACTGGGAGATGGAGTTCCGCAAGTTCTTCCCGGGCTTCAAGCTCCTCACCTACTACGGCACCCAAAAGGAGCGCAAGAAGAAGCGCGAGGGGTGGAACACGGAGAACGCCTTCAACGTCTGCATCACCTCGTACCAGCTCGTTCTGGCCGACCAGCACATCTTCCGCCGCAAGCCGTGGCACTACCTCATCCTCGACGAGGCGCACCACATCAAGAACTTCCGCTCGCAGCGGTGGCAGACTCTCCTCGGTTTCAACGCGCGGCATCGCCTTCTCCTGACCGGCACACCGCTGCAGAACAACCTGATGGAGCTGGTGCGTCGCGCGCATGTGCGGTCTCACGGTTGTTCGAGCTGACGGAATGATCGCCTGCAGTGGTCGCTTCTCTACTTCCTCATGCCTCACGGTCTCATTACCGACGGTTCGGGCCCCTTCGCCGAGCACGCCGACTTCCAGGCGTGGTTCTCGAACCCGATGGAGAAGGCCATCGAGAGCGGTGAGGTGATGGACGCCGAGATGCAGGCGACGGTCAACAAGCTTCACACGATCCTTCGCCCATACCTCCTCCGACGCCTCAAGGCCGAAGTCGAGACCCAGATGCCCGGCAAGACCGAGTCGGTCATCTACTGTCGCATGTCGAAGCGCCAGCGGTTCCTCTACGACGACTTCATGTCGCGCGCCCAGACCCGCGACACCCTCGCCTCAGGCCACTTCCTCAGCATTATCAACTGTCTCATGCAGCTCCGCAAGGTCTGCAACCACCCCGACCTCTTCGAAGTCCGGCCCATCGTCACGTCGTTCTCGATGCAGCGGTCCGTCGTCAGCGGATTCGAGCCGTCGGAGCTGCTCGTCCGGAAGCGCCTGCTCGAGGACGAGCCGATTGCGAAGATGGATTGGACGACCTTGACGCTCGTCAAGCCGTGGCAAGAAGAGACGACGTCGACTGTCGCCGGCCAGATCCGCCTCCACCTCGACGCGTCAACTTCGTTCCCATACTTGCACCGCGTCCCGATGGACGTCAACCTCGCCTCCCCGCCTCCGCGCGACACCAAGACGATTGCCGGGTGGCGGCGCTACCGCGCGTGGCAGGAGCACCACGCCATCCTGTCCCGCCTCAACCGCCTCGCCGTCGTCAACCGCCGCCGCTGCCTCTCCTCGACCCCTTACTTCGGCGCGGACCTCCTCCACCTCCTCCGCGAGCCGAGTCGCTCGTCTCAGCTCCTCCCGACCGACGCCATTCGCCCCGACCGCGAGGCACTGTCGCGACCGTCGATCGTACCGAACATGATCCTCTCGCACGAGCAGCGGGCGAGCGCCTTGGAGGAGACGGTCTCCCTTTTCTCCTTCGCGACGCCCAAGGTTCGCGCGCACGACATGAAGCACCACGCGCTGCCGGGCATGTCGCAGGACGATGTCGACGATATCGAAGAGGAGGCGCCCGCCGAGCTTCTCCACGCCGCGTCGACCAAGCTCACGGTCGCCTTTCCCGACCGCTCGCTTCTGCAGTACGACTGCGGCAAGCTGCAGAAGCTCGACGAGCTCTTGCGCGAGTGCAAGGCCGGCGGACACCGCGCCCTCATCTTCACCCAGATGACCAAGGTCCTCGACATCCTCGAAGAGTTCCTCTCGTACCAGGGCTACCGCTACCTCCGCCTCGACGGTTCGACCAAGATCGAGCAGCGCCAGGCGCTGACGGAGCGGTTTAACTCGAACGACAAGATCCTGTGCTTCATCTCGTCGACTCGCGCGGGCGGTCTCGGCATCAACTTGCAGGGCGCCGACACCGTCATCTTCTACGACTCGGACTGGAACCCTGCTCTCGACCGCCAGTGCCAGGATCGGTGTGTCACACAGCTTTGCGCTCCTTCCTCGCTTCAAAAGCTGACTTCGTCTCATCGCAGCGCACACCGCATCGGCCAGACTCGCGAGGTCCGCATCTGGCGCTTCGTAACCGAGCACTCGTGCGTCACCGCCTCTGCTCGCTCGC